AACACTAGACGCCTTAGAGCGGTGATAATAGAATAGAATAGAAGGGATGAAACCCTCTTTAATGGTCACACATGCAGAGCACACAGCACACACAGTGACATTTGTTCTCTGCTTTTAACCCATCCTAGTACCAGGAGTCTAGATACAACAGAACACTTAAGATCCAATGTGTATTATTGTAATCATTCTTTCTTTGCAGAGATGTCACACAATTAAAAGCAATGCACCAAAATTAGCTAGTTGCTAATTGGCATCTGTTGTTCCTGGCCAAGTAGTTACTTAAAACCGCACATATCACACAAAGTCCATCGGTGTGAGATAATGAATAGAAAACATGTACAAACTAAGAGAACAAATCAAATGTTACCCGTGTAATTGTCTGCCCGACAGACGCATCCTCGCTGACCAGAACATTGTAGATGTCCTGACTGAAGGTTGGAGCGTTGTCGTTGACGTCCATCAGTTCAATGGTTACCATGGTAGCTGTGCTGAGAGGAGGGTTCCCGCTGTCCCAGGCCTCCACGGTGAGGTAGTAGTCCTTACACACCTCAAAGTCCAAATCATCAGCCACAGAAATAGAGCCTAAAATAAACACATTGTACGGCATGTATAGGATTTAATTTAAGACCAGCTAAAGACACATCTTTTTAGATTAGCTTTTTATTAGCAACCCCCCACTTTAAATAGTCGTTATTATTTACCTACTTTTATATTGTTTTATTTATTTGATAGGTCTTAAAGGATTTTATCTTATTTTATTAAACATGTTTCAATAGCAATACTTATTTTTATGTTGTTTTTGTAAATATTCTAATCGTTTAAACTTTATTAGAATTATGGCATTTTTATTACTATTATCTTTATATTTTTATTTCTATTGTACCTATGTTCACTTTGTTTTATGGGGTTTTATATTTTATATTGTTGCAACGATTCAGTTGTCTTGTGTCTTATCTGTCGGAGAGAAATCCTTACTTATTTTATTTGTATTATTACAACCTGATCAAATGTTATATTTTGTACCTGTAAAGTTTTTAAAAAATAATCAGAGGGGAATTTCTTGTTAATATTTTTAACTTGTAATGTGTCATTTTGTAAAGCACTTTGAGCTGCATGTGTTGTATGAAAAGTGCTGTATAAATAAAGCTTTATTATGATTATTTGAAGTGAGTTTTAGTTTTGCATTCAGCACATACAAGGACCTCCGCTCACCCTGGTTTCTGTCTATGCTGAACTTTCTCAGCTCGTTGCCTGACCGGATGGTGTAGGCGATATCAGCATTCGGTCCGATGTCCACACTCGTCGCCATCAATCTCAGCACCTCGGTTCCCACAGCAACATCCTCAGGGACGGTGACGGCGTAGTCCCTCCTCTGGAAGACTGGAGCATTGTCATTCACATCCAGCACCAAAATGGTCAAATCCACCTGAGGGAGAGACAAACTCATTTTCACTGCCCTGAGAGTTCAGTTTCAGCACAAGATAAGGATATTCATGAAAGAAAAGATACTGAGAGCTCCACAAACAAGACAGGCGTCTGGGGGGGGGAAACCCATTGGCGTTTTAGTCCACCAAAGCCCCAAAGAGAATATATTGAATTCTTTCTTACTTTCTTTTTGTTCACTAGATAAATATTAAATATAAGTAACCCTGGATGTGTCATTTTGTTTCTGCTCTCTGCGAGGTCAAAACAACTTCAAACAAGGCTGTGATGTTACAGAAACATTAAACCTTGTTATAATATGTATATTTTATTTTATTTTGGTAGGTTATATTGCAAACAAAAGTCTATAAACAATTGAGAAGTTCATTGTAGCTGAGGGTTGGGAACAATGTATCATCAGTTTCTAGTATTTATTTATTGGAATGAGTTTCCAATGTTTCTGCTTTTCAAATATTGCTTCATTTTTACATGAGAATGTAATGTTATAACCCTCTTATTTCTTACTTTGTATTATTAAAACAAATATGGTTCTAACATGTTTGATAGGTTCGTTGAAAATGTTTCTGTTGATTTGATTTGCCTTTCTGTGTTATTTCAGTTGTTCTTGTATGTCGTTTCCTTAAGTGTTGTGGCTGTTGTAAATCAGAGACCCCTCTTTTGATCAAATTGAACATAATTTCATACTGTCACACCTTCCTCCATTATGCATTATGTAAGTAATAACCTTAAGGTGTAAGGTTAAAACTGGTTACATAATGGTATTAGTTTAGATTGTCAACTCTATTTAGTGTTAGAAATATGAATTATCTAGTATAAAGAATGGGAAGATGTCAAAGTAAAAAGATGGATAAGAGAATCACATGCTTTCGAGCTAAACTGCATCAGACCTTCTTTATTTTCATCCCTGTTCTGTATTCTGTATTCATGCAGCATATGGTGCGGTATATTGTAAGCTATATATGGAGTCAAAGAGGAGAGACACTTGATCCCAGTCTCACTCACTGCAAGTGGGATGTCTAAGCATTTCTATATGTTCTGCTATTATATAGAAGTGCCTGCTGGGAATACGTCTACTACTCGCTACTATTACTACCTCAGCTGTTATTCCAGTTGCTACAAATTTGGTCCAAATAGGCCCACCTGGTCTCACTTTTGTCTGGGGTTCATCTAAAATTATAGCTAGTTCTGGCAGTCCTAAAAGAACCCCTTTTTACCTATTTTCTGCCTGCCTCTGCGTCTGTATCTGTCACCTTCCCCACTTACCCATCCAAGACACTCCATAAGTTGATGATTTATCTTGATTAAATCTACCAGGTTCTTTATCTGATCTCTTCAGTAAACAACATGTTTTTATTCATTGGTTTCTTGTTATTCATGTGTATGGACAGAAATACAAATTGCACATTATCAGCTGGTGGACTTACTAATGTGCCTCTTAATGTTTAGTGTATAAAATCGAAATGCATAATTATGGTAAAATGGTTTCATAAATATTCACATCTATTCATTTATTTTATATACATACAGTAATTGGTGTAAAGAAGCAGTTTCCATTTAGTCTGTATCTCATTGAATTGCCATGTTTATTTCACCTTGTTGGTAATTTGTGTGAGGAATGTTATTGCCCTTGTTTCAGAGGTGTCGTATTTTGTGATTTTGAATAGCTTTTAAGATGCTTTTCCCTGCACTTAGGCTTCGTGCATAGCATGGGAATGACTCAATGAGATTGAATGTGTGTCACTGGCATCACTTACCTGGGAGGACAGTGCCCCCTGTTGCCCATCTTGATCAGTGGCCTGGACACGGACTCGATAGGAGTCTTGGCTCTCTCTGTCTAGAGTCTTCTCCAGAATTACCATCCCTGATACGGGTTCAATGGAAAACAACCCGTTGACTGAATCCACCAGAGAATACACTACTGTACGGTTAAATCCTGGAGAGAATGGGAGACAAATCCGTGCACAGCGAAGACTTAATATCCATGTCAGAATGTTTTTCTTCCTGTTCAAGGTAGTCTTTTCTATTTTACAAATTGTGAGATAATGAAGTAATCTCATGTGCGAGTCAGCAGTTTGAATGCTTAGAGACAGTATCTTCAACCTGCATTAATTGTAACTTTATTTGCTCATTATAATCCTTGTTTAACATCTTACTCGTCCAGCATTAAACATCTAATTAGCTTACCTTCATCTGGGTCGCTGGCTTGCAGCCGGGTGAGCAAAGCCTTGGGGGCGGCATTCTCATAAACGCTAGCCAGGTAATGGGGAGAGGAGAAGGAGGGAGCATTGTCATTCACATCCAACACTTTGAGAGAAATGTCAGAGCGGCAGAACAGCCCTCCTCCATCAGTGGCCTGGGCAATGAGTTTATAAGTGGTCGTCATCTCCCTGTCCATGACCGTGGCCGTGCGCAGCTCACCTTAGGACACAAAAAGAGAGATTTAGAAAGGAGGCTTATTCTCAGACATACTGTTGTTATTCCTATGGAAGCTTAGAAAATATAGCAACTGAATGTACCAGTGTTGGCATCCATGTAGAAATCTTCAACCCCGATGCCAAACAGTGAGTATTGGATCTCAGCGCTGGAGCCTGAGTCAGCATCTGCTGCGCCCACTGACACAATGCCCTTGTTAATGGGAATATTCTCAGGGAAAGAGGCACTGTACACCGCCTGTCAAAACAAACACAAACACACACACAGATACAAGCACAAAGTGAAGCAACAGTGTCTGAAAAACGATCTGTCCAACACATAAAACGATTGAGCACTGCCGCCATTATCTCTGGTGATAAACCGAGCATAGCAGAGTAAAGTGCCCTTTTCTGACCCTGCATTCACTTTGGTCGCATCTGGAAATGAACTTTGTGACCCCACTAATTCCCCAAACACAGACCAGCACATTTAAAGAACTACCGGTACATACTTTTTTTCTCTGTACTTCTGACTTACACTTGGTGCAATTATTTGTCCATTGCCTGATGGTGTGGTTGTTGTATCACTGTGAAACTACTATACTGTATCTACTGCCAATTCTACTGCTTCACTTTCAACTGCTATTACTTCTACTCTTTTGACCACTATACTTATCGCTATTATTTCTTTTGTTGCATCAAACATGACGAAGCACTATGGCTAATATCAGCAGTGGAGGTTGTTTATGAACTTCTATTGACATTACTGCTACTACCACTTTTACAGCTGACTTCTGCATCTATGAGGTAGAAATGATTTTTGTTTCTCTTGTTACTGTTAGAGCAACAGGCACTACAATACTACTAATACTTCTTATACAACTGGCACTTTTAGTAAAAAAACATGAGAATAAGGTCAGAGTAAGTTAGAGAATATTGTGTGGCTCTTAACATATTTTGATAAATGTCATGCCATCACCGTATCATGCCAGTATAAAACAAACTG